AAAAAAACCCCCCAAAAAAAAAAAAAAAAAAAAAAAAAAAAAAAAAAAAAAAAACCTCTCAAAAAAAAGAGAAAAAAGAAATCACACCAGCCAAATGTATGCCTAAAATCCCAGGGAGAGGACGGAGAAAGGGAAGCAGTGTGGCCATCCTCCCAGGAAGTGATTTCTTTCTTTTCTTTCTTTTCTTTCTTTTTTTTTTTTTTTCTGAACGAGATTTTTGCTATAGGGTGCATACTCTCTCCAGAAAGACAGAGACAGACAGAAAGCATGAAATCACCCCCTGGGGGGATGGCCACACCACAATCCCTTCTCCTTCATTCTCCTCTCAGGATCTTGGGTGCACATGCACCCAGAGTGAGTTTTAAGCTGCCAGGTCTGGGACTCGAACCGCAGTTAACTACATGGGAGTCTAGTGATGTAACCATTATGCCGTGTGCTGGTCCCCCCAGGGGGTGATTTCTCACTTTCCTGCTCACTGTCTCTTTCCAGTGAGTGCACGCACTCAATGGGGGAAAAACACACACACACACACACCATGGCTTTGGGGGTGTTGCAGAGTATCTTTTCCATCCTTATATTTTCCCAAGCCTCTTTCCCAGCAGGTGCAGAGATAGAAGGTCCCAAGCACCCCCTTCCCCCCGCAAAGTGCTCAACTTTCTAAAATCCTGTAACCATTAAAATTCAGAAAAACCATCCTGCAGACTGTTTGTCTTTGCAGCCCCAAGGGACCTGAGGCCCAGAGCAGCGTGCCTCCATTGCAGAGCTGTTCGGCAGGCCATGTGCCACCTGCTTCCGGTGGCTGCAGACCTCCTAGCTGCAAGCTCTTCTGGGCCGAGGAAGCGCCGCCCCCAACACCTTCTGGTGGGAGGTGGCTGTAAAATGATTTCTCAGGAATTATTCTCAGGGAAAAGGGGGAAATGAGACATAACACCTATGCTCCCAGGACCTGATCTTTAGGGGTCTGAGATGGGATCAGAAGATGGAGCAGAGGGCCTTTCTTTAACCTTCAGATCCTCCCGTCTGAGTTCCCAGGAGCGGAATTTGAATCATGCTCAAGTAATGAGCAGAACTGGGAGATTCCAACATGGTCAGGGAGCCTGGATGTAGGAGAGAGCAGGCTCTCCCGAAGGCGGTGGGCTTCAGGCCCTCAGCGGAAGGACTGCCTGCCTTGCATTATCACCCGGGCGTCTGCTTGGTCTGTCTGAAGACGCTCCTTTAGGCAGAGGACGAGCCTGGAGAGAGCTTTTGGCTCAAGACCTGGGTGTGCCGCTGGCCTGTGCCACTGGCCTGACAGACCCTGACCCCCCCACCCCACCCCCGATGCCATTCTGCATGTCGACTCAAAGGGATTTTTTTCTAAACATTTCATGTGGGGACACCAGAGAAGCTGACATCCGCAAAGCCAGCCTCAGAAATCAGTGCCTTCTCAAAGGAGCCTCCTGGTGCTGGCCTCAAGCAGATCTCTCAGGACCTCCCTCTCATAGACCACCCCGCCCAAGTAGTGTTCGGGCCTTTGTGGGAATCTCAGCTGCAGCTTTGACATGCAAGTGGGAGTCCTAAGGAGACCCTCGACCCTTTGTCTTAAGTTTTCCAACCCTACCACCTGTCCTGAGGGCCTCTATGGCCCTTCTTTATTGCCTGGCCCTCATAAGATAAAACTTTGCTACAACTGTTCATCTTTCCCTGTGGCAGGTGGAGGAAGCCTTGACCATCAAAAACACAGACATCGCCAAGGAGCTCTGCCTTCCTCCTGTCAAACTGCACTGCTCCAGTAAGTCTCCACTCTTCAAAACATCCCCAGCTGGGTCAGCTGGCAGTTGTGTTCATTTGTGACAGGGTAATGACAGGGTCCTTCTAAGTCAGAGTCCATCTTTATAACCCTCAGAAAACTCAGACTCAGGAGCCCGTCATTACAGCCTCCCTCGGGTTAGGCCCGCGGTCTCCCAGCCACGTCTAGGAGAGCCCTGCCTGCAGCTGCCAGGCCCTTATGGGCACCATCTCTCATAGCCTCAAGTCCACAGCAGGGGTCATTGCTGCCCTCTGACAGGAGGAGCCAGGGCTTGGAAAAGGCAACCCACATCACTAGCCTCAACAGTGGGAGGGCCAGAATTTAGGCCCTGTCTTTTGATTTCAGAATCTGTGCCCCCCCACCACCCTGCAGCAGTGTTAGGACCGGCAGAGGTGAAGACTCAGCTTTCCCATGGTCCCATCTGCTGGGTCTCATCACTCCCTGCCCAGACACTAGCAGTGCTGCAACCCGTGTGCATCTGCGAGGGGTGACTCAGCCTGGTACGCCGTATGCCCTCTCCACAGTCATGAGGATGACCAGACGCCGCCGAGGCTTTCCAGTTCAGTCTGCTCATTAACACAGTGCTTTCTCCATTCTCTCCCTCAACTTCTCAGGGCAAGAGGGAATGAGACGGGGCAGCCTTAACATATTACGGAGGTCTACTGACCAGATGGGTTAGAAATCAGAGAGGCCTCTTGCCAGGTGCGACTCACAGGAGAAGAGCGAGCCCCTGGGAGGGAGCTGGGGGAGAGACAGACCAACACAGTATTCGGGTAGTCTGCTAAGATCGGAGGCTTTTCCACCAGAGCTGGACTTGACCCACGAAGAAAGGTCATAGCCGGGGCACACTTGCACACAGTTTCGGAAAAGCCGCAGCCTTTTTACCACGGACACTTCAGTGCTCTCTGCCGTTCGCTTGCTCCGCACTGTCATTCCAGCTCTCTCAATTGTTACGTAACCTCACTTTCAATATTGAGTCCTAAAGAAAAGTTCTCAAACTTTGGCTCAGCAGAGGGTGCTGTGGCAGGTGCCATGTCGTCAACAGGTGGCCGTGGCTGTGCGTTCTGCTAGCCTGACCACCATCTACTGTGTTCGCTCCAGCCTCCACGAGGACTTGCCTTGTGCCGTCCCTCATCTATGTCGGACATTGTCTTTGCTGCCCCAGGAAGAAAGCCCTGAGTATCCCAGGCCTGTATAAGACAAGGTAGAGCCCAAGGTGCTAAGGAACCAGCCTAGAGCCCCCGGTCTTTCTCCAAAGCCATTCTCAGGAGTAATCCTGCTCAGGAAGCTGCTGACCAGCCTCTGGGCTTGCTCCTCACACCTGTACCCTGGCCAGGCCCGGCCCCTCCTAGCACCGCTGCCCTCTAGGTCTCAAAGATTCTTTTTGCAAAACTATTTCTTCAGTGTCTAGAAACTTGGGTCCTCTTTCCTTCCATTACTTCTAGTGCTGGCCGAGGATGCAATCAAGGCCGCCCTGGCAGATTACAAACTGAAACAAGAACCCAAGAAAGGAGAGGCAGAGAAGAAGTGAGCCCTTGGCAGAGCCCGCAGCAGGTCACACGAGTTGTCTGCCCACCGCTGTGCTGTCACCTTAGATGCCGAGACCCCTCGCACTGCATTAAGAAGCTCCAAGATACGCACAACTTTCGCTGTCTGTTGTGACTCTCACGCAAGCAAAATACACAGTTCAATTGTTCTGAATCTTGTGGTTTCTTTCAGCCCACATGTATCGCCTTAACTCCATCCATGTACATTTTGAATTGTGTGTCTGGCCTCAGAACTGAAATCTATAATGGAGTCCCAAGTTTTGACAGCCCATGAAGTGCATAAATATCTAATTTCACCTGAATTTATTTGGGGAAGATTACGAGTAGAATGTCTTGGTCTGATTATGTGATAGACCCAATTATTGTACATAAAAGATCTGCATATATATATATATATATATATACACACACACACATACATATATATATATAATAATAAAAGAATGTAAGATGATTTTCTCTAGTAAGTTTCATCTCTTAGAGCTCCCACTCATCTCAGTGTGCTGCCCAGAACCCCTTGTTGGACCATAACAACACACACGCCTTTCCGGGCAAACGATGGTGAAGCCTGGCACAGAGCTTTTCAGAGCCACATGCATGTAGAGCTTTATGAACCGAAGGTGAAAGGAGGTAGTCTTTGCTTTTCATTGCTCTTTGCAAATTAATAGACAACTCTAAATGAGTCGTGAAGATGCTTTTTATAATTCTGCTGGCTTGAGAAATCCTGAAGTATGAGAAACATTGGCCGAGACGACACACCAGAGCCATGGACCAGATGTATAGAGCCCCCCTGGGGAGTGAGTGTAAGATGCAGTCATCTAGACCCAGGACTGACTATGGGCAGGAGATGTCCCAGACTTGAGTTTTGTGTGGTGGTGGATGAGCCGAACCACAGGGAAGAAACTTCTGTTGTCAAATCTCTGTCCTGCAGAGGTGTTTATGTGTGTGTGTTTTTAAGAGCTTTTTGCCTTATGGCATGTGTGCACACCAGAGAGAGAGAGACAGAGACTGAGAGGGAAAGTGAGAACGCCTCCCAGGGGGAATGCCCACATCACGAGTCCTTCTCCATTCTCCTCCTAGGATCTTCCATATGTACACCCATGTACCTGTGTGATTTTCAAGCCATCTGGTCTGGGACTCAAACCAAGGTTGGCCATGTGGGAGTCCAGCAACATAACTGCTATACCATTTGCTGGCCCCCAGGTGATTTAAGTAGTTCGTTCCACACGGGGCTTTCAGAAGGCCCATGGGAAATGCATACTGCCAAAGATCTATGCATAGGAGCCAGCTCCCACATGGCTGACCATGTTCAAATCCCAGCCCATGCAGCTTGGAAAACACACCAGGTGCGTGCGTGTGCATGCCCAAGATCCCAATAGGATGGGGGAATGGAAGAGAAGGGACTGCAGCATTACCATGTCCCACTCGGGGAGGTGCTTTCTCCCTCCCCCTCTCAAACCTTAAGTCCCCTGATGAAGACACAACACACCTTGTTTTTAAAGCATTCATCCTAGACCAGCAGACGGCATGGTGATTAAGGTGCTGAATCCCACATGGCCGACTCCACAATTCAAGTCCTGACCCCAGGCACGTGTGCATACATGCCCCAGATCCCAAGAGGAGAAGGGACTGTGGCATGGCCTTCCCTATGTCTCTCCCATAAGTGCATATACACCCTATGATAAAACCTTTAAAATTTTAAAATAAAGTGTTCACCCTGCTCAGGCATGAATAGCAGGTATTCTGATTGCTGTGCTGCCTACCCTGCTCTCCCCTGTTCACCACCTCAGGCTCACAAACATCACCAAAAGAGGCCCGACTTCCAAGTGAAAACATGATGCTGAACTACCAACTACCATAGTCTCAAATCGCACTCGGCTTCAAAAGTAAGATGTGTTGGCTTTATCTGAGGGCAGGTTTTTTGTTCCGGCATACCTATAAAAATTAAGCATACCTATAAAAATTAAAATTAAGACCACCAGTTGGTGTAATGGCCATGTCACTGGACTCCCATATAATCAACCGCAGTTTGAGTCCTGGACCTGGTGGCTTAACCTTATGCCGGGCATGTGTGCATGCATGCCCAAAAGCCTGAGAGTAGAACAGAGGAGAAGGGATTGTGGTGTGGCCATCCCCCCAGGGGGGTGATTTCTCACTTTCTGTCTCTGTCTTTCTGGCGAGCACACACGCCCTATAGTAAAAAAAAAAAAACTCTCAAAAAAGTTAAAATAAAAATAAATTTTTAGAAACTGTGCAGGGTTCTGGTAGAGACACACTTCAAACGCCACTCCCTCTGCAGTCTGTGGAGACAGCCACAGCCCAGAGGCTTAGAAGAATCTCAAATTAGAACCCTTGGGTGGAACCGTGTAAAATTGTCCCATGTGCCATGTCCTCCTATTTAATTCGCAGTCCCTCTAGGCTGGGCTTGTCTCTCTTTATTACATGTGGCAGCGCCACAACTCCCTACTCTTTGTGATTTTCAAAATGAGACATTTCTATCCCAGTTCCTACCCTCTGAGAGTTGAAACGAGTTTCAGAAGCATCTCAGAGGCCGCCGAAACAACAGGACCTGAATAGCCCAAACCTCAAAACAGGGTTGTGCAGCTCCGAGAAATGACCGTAGTCTGTCATTTTCCCAGACAAGCCTAGTTTTAGCCACATGAGGGCATTGTGTGTCCTTCAGCCAGCCCAAGCTCAGGGATTTCTGCAGCCTCTAAGTGGGTCTCAGTATCTCTGATGAAGTTTTCCATGGCAGGCCCTCATATTTGTGAACTCATCCATTGTCATGATGACCCTCCACCTCCAGGGAGACCTCATTTCAAACAAGGACACTGGCTCTAGAGACGAACTGACATTCTCCGTTAAGCTGGCTTGGACAGAGTGGCCCACAGTCCCTGCTTCTCCCATGGCAGGACATACCAAGGATCCTACCCACACGTCAGAAGCTCACCTGGGCCTTGAACACTCACATGAAGAAGGTGAATGATAGGACCAGCAGATGGCTTAATGGTTATTTCACTGGACTCCCATGTAGTCAACGGTGGTTCGAGTCCCAGACCCAGCAGCTTAAAACTCACACTGGGCACGGGGACCAGCGGTTAGCATAATGGCTATGTCGCTGGACTCCCACGTAGTCGACCACGGTTCGCGTCCCAGACCTGGTGGCTTAAAACTCACGCCAGGCGCGTGTGTGTGCGTGCCCAAGATCCCAAGAGGAGAATGGAGGAGAAGGGATTGTGGCGTGGCCATCCCCCCTGAGGGGTGATTTCTCGCTTTCTATCTCTCTGTCTCTCTCTGTCTGGCGAGCACACACGCCCTATAGTGAAAA